AGGCCTCCTGCTGCCGCCCATCCTACTGCGGACAGTCCTGCTGCCGCCCAGCCTGCTGCTGCTACTGCTGCCAGCCCAGCTGTTGTGAGCCCACCTGCTGAAAGCCTTCTAAAGGAATCCTGAGAAACTGGCACGAGCCAATGTAGAGTCCCAACAAACTTCTGAGCGCTAATACCCATAATCCAGCTTGCAAACTCTTGTCACACGGCTACATAATTTTCCTAAAATGTGAACTTATAATTGAAGACCAAAAATATTTCATAAACCTGGTTATGAATAGAAGTCCTACAAGGTTAGGAGGACTATGTAAAACTTTACTATAAAGATCATCTGAAATAGTTCAACAGCTCATTGGATTTGGGATTTAATAAAATTTTTATTCTTCAGTGATGAAGTCATTGTTGGAGCTTTTATTTGGAATTTGTTATTGCTATCGGGGTACTTGGATTTTTCAAAATCTCAGTAACTGTGATATGGCAGTATGGTTTTTCTTTATTTTTGTCCTTTTATAAAGGTCTTTAAAAGATGGTTTTCCTTTGTTTTACCATTAAATGGTCCAATATTCTGCAGCCAAAATCTATGATTAAAAGAATCTATCAGTATTTAGAAATTATTTCCCAAGGTCCTCACATGTGCAAACTGATGGGCTAGGTGTTCCAGAAGATCGATTTTACAAAAAAGGAATTTTATGTCATTTAGCTTCTTGAGGTGTTACCAAATCTATTCATTTCATTCATATAGGATTCTGTGTACAATTCTTTCAATTATCGAGGGTATAAAAGAGTAATACATAGTTGGAAAGACAGTAAACACAAGATTTCAAAGTACTAGCATAAGATGTAAAGGCATCCCGAGTTCTTGTTCCCACTTTGTAACTAAGAATCCATGGATTCTTGAGCAAGGCCCTTCGCCTCCCTAGGCACCAGTTTAGAAAGCCTGGAAAATAAGAGAACTGACTTTCATTGCTTACAACATCCCTCCCAGGCATAGGATGGATTATTTCCTAAACAGGTGATGCACTGACAATTAGAGTCTTAGATGCCCAACAGGGAAAAAGTATTCAATGGTCAAATAATGTTGCATGCGTTTTCACCATCTTGAAGGTTTATAAAGCACATTAGAAGGATTGCTTAGCCCGGTGATGGGTATTAAGGAGGGCACATACTGCATGGAGCACTGGGTGTTTTACGAAAACAATGGAATGTGGATCACCACATCAAAAACTAATGATGTATTGTATGGTGACTAAAATAACATAATAAAATTTTTAAAAATTAAAAAATTAAAAACAAAGCACATTAGAATATTAAAGAAAGCTCTATAACTATTACTCCCAAACTGATTTAGTCAGGGAATTTATTTATTTATTTATTACTGACTTAACATCCTGTAACACTACTAGTATTCCTCAAAATATACTTTGGAAAATGATGAAAAGGAATTTCAACTAATGTTTCTAAAACATCTATACAGTTGTTTCATGTATTAAGTAGAAAATAAATATTCATTACAGGAATGGATTTAAACAAGCATGATACTGACATTCACTATGCCCATTCTTATACACAATGCGTCTAAAACATGTTCAACACTCTATGTCCCTCATATACTACTCTCTTATCTTCCAACAGATTAGGAAGACTTAGGTTGGATGCACCTTTGACTTAGAAGGCTTCAGCTTGGAAGCACCAAAAGAGCCAGGTTGACATTCAGAGAGAAGATCTTATTACTTGATTTAGAATAAAAAGTTGGGGATATTCGGGCGCCTGGGTGGCTCAGTTGGTTAAGCGACTGCCTTCAGCTCAGGTCATGATCCCAGAGTCCTGGGATCGAGTCCCACATCGGGCTCCCCCTGCTCTGCGGGGAGCCTGCTTCTCCCTCTGCCTCTGCCTGCCACTCCCCTGCTTGTGCTCTCTCTCTCTCTCTCTCAAATAAATAAATAAAATCTTTAAAAAAAAAAAAGTTGGGGATATTCAACCGGTTGGTATATCAACCACATCTTATCACTCAGGAACCTAAGTAAGGCAGAGGCAACTGAATTAGAGAACTATTTAAAATGGATTTTAAGGAATTGAGAGACACCCCAAAATTTACAGTAAAAAACCCAGAACATTGATCTCTTAAAGAAAAATAACTCAAATATTAGTATCTATAAACAGAAGGCAAACATGGAATAATAAGAGACAAACACATCCTTTCTTCTTGTGGTACTATTTGGTCTGGGCCCCATCGCTTAAATGAAGTAATGAAAACCAAAGAGAATACGCATAGTAATAAAATAGTTTTAAATGTAAAGTTACTGGCATTCTTTTCTCAAAGAAGACCACAGATGGGGGGCGCCTGGGTGGCTCAGTTGGTTAAGCGACTGCCTTCGGCTCAGGTCATGATCCTGGAGTCCCGGGATCGAGTCCCGCATCGGGCTCCCTGCTCGGCAGGGAGTCTGCTTCTCCCTCTGACCCTCCTCCCTCTCATGTGCTCTCTCTCATTCTCTCTCTCTCAAATAAATAAATAAAATCTTAAAAAAAAAAAAAAAAAAAGAAGACCACAGATGGGGATATCCAGCATTTAAACAGGACAGAAAATCTAACATCACAAATGATTAAAACTTCTTACTCTATTTGTATTAGAACCAATCAAGAATTGGATTTAAGTGGTAAGAGGAAATAATTTTATTTTCTTGACTTATTTAGGGAAGATAAGGGAATATTCAGATTAATCTGTGGCAGAAAAATAGAATTCTCAAATTTTAAGTGTCATACCTTATGTGATGGTTTAATCTTATATATCAACTTGACTGGTTAAAGGGATCCCTAGATAGCTGGTAAAACATTATTCCTGGCTGTGTCTGTGAAGGTGTTTACAGAAGGAATTAGCATATGAATCTGTAGAATGAGTAAAGAACATTGCCTTCACCAATGTGAGTGGGCATCATCCAATCCATTGAGCCCCAAATAGAACAAAAAGGCAGAAAAGGTGAACTGTTCTATGGCTCAAGCTGGGACATTCATCTTCTCCTGCCCTCAGACTTCAGTGCTCCTGGTGGGACTTCTTAGGCTCCATATTTGTGTGAGCCAATCCCTCAAAATAAATCTCTTTCTACCTATTTATATATATCTTACTGGTTCTGTTTCTCTGGAGAACTCTGGCTGACACACCTAATAATTCTCTGAGGGCAACTAAAGACCAGAAACATGAAAACTGAGTTAAGTTTTGCACCGAGGGAGATGCTGTAAACAGTGCCACACCAGAAAAGCCAGAAATGGAGAACTAACAGACAACACTACTATCTCCAGTGCCCTTCTGAGGAGGTATTTCAACTCCTCAAACATATGAATTTTTTGCAAGGGGAGATAAATGTTTTTATTACTTACCATTTATCAAAATCAAATATTCTACTGAATTTAAATATGAATTAAATAGCTCCTGAGATTGTAATGGTGATAAATCTACATATTCCAAACATCCACAGTAAAAATAAATCAGCTAATCAAAGAATCTGTGATATAGATTTGCTTAAGGAGAGGAAGCAAAAAATTCACATACCTTTTAACTCACATTTGACATGGGATTTGAAAATGTCTTAATTCTGATTTGGGAAGAGTTATGATCTTAACTCAAAGCTGTCATTTCTGGAGAAGCAGAACTAATTAATACCTGGTATTCTGGTTCAAACTCTGTATTTTAACTTCCATTTCCCTATAATAGAATCCATACTCAACGAAGGCCAGGTCACCTTTCACTGTACCTACACAAAAGCTTCATCTTCATCCTCATCAGTTGTTTCATTCAAATTATATTAACTTTCAGCAAGTTGGACTAGTTTCTAATATGTACAGTAAACTGCATACGGCAGATCTAACACACCATAGAGTGTCACGTGCTCCAGTGTTAATACACTGGGTATGATTTTTATGCAGTTAAGGACATTTAAATCTAGAAGACATCCTAATATCAAAGTTTAGATGAAGTCACAAGTCAAATGGATTAACCTTTTTAGCACTTGAGATTTTCTCGAAGTGTGATTATGGAGTTAAAAAAATAAAAATTTCCAGAGAAGTCCTAATAAATAGTGTTATTACTCATCCAAAGCTCTGCCTTTCTTCCCTTGACTCTAAAAAAGTTTCAAAGTGGACAAATTTTTACATCTTTCTTTTACCCTTTGACTTTCTCTAGAACAACTGCTTACATGGAAAACAGAGTACTGACTGTAGGGGTTGAAAGAGTTTACGCTGGAGTCAGATGATGTGGGTTCAAATTTCAGATTCACCACTTGCTGCTGTGAGCCTGGGCAAGAGATGTAAATCTGTTTGAGGCTTGGTTTCCTTATACGGATGATGAGAGTAGCTATAGGCATGGCTCATAGGACTGCAGTAAAAATTAAATGAACTGATAAATGTAAAATAGTCAGAACCATTTAAGCACCTAAGTGCTCCAGAAATTGTGATCAGTAACAATTCATCCACATTTCTCAGTCCCCCAAAAAAGCATCCCTTTCTGGCCAGCTGGATCACTTTGCTTCATAGTCAAATTGAAGATGAAAAAGATAAAGGGGCAGTGGTTGACACTGGAGCCATGATGCTGGGAAATAAACTGTCATGTGAGACCCAAGGGTCCGATTATCAGGGTCAACACTGAGTAATACTGACACTCCTTAAAGGTGAGGCATCAATTATTCATAGGGCAATGACCAAATTTGAACAAATATGGGCGATTATGGGTTATGTACCAAATGAACGCCAATAACTACTTAGCTGTGGTAAAGAATCTTAATTGAAGACCAAATAAAATGAACTTATAAAGGCTTTCAGAGGTTGAACAAATAACTCAGGAATAGGGCAATTATTATTCAGAGACAGATTATTTATACACAAACAAGGAAGAGATTTTGAGAATTATGTAAATCATAGCTAGTCAAGGCTTATAAAAGGCCCAACATGGAAGTCACCACCAAAACTCAAAAACTTCTCTTAGCAACCCAACTCTCAACCCAGCTCCTGACCATGGCCTGCTGCTCCACTAGCTTCTGTGGATTTCCCACCTGCTCCACCAGTGGGAACTGTGGCTCCAGCTGCTGCCAGCCCAGCTGTTACGAGCCCAGCTGTGGTGGGACCAGCTGCGGCACTGGTGGTGGCCAGGAGGGTGGCTACGGAGCTGTGAGCTGCCGAGTCAGGTGGTGCCGCCCTGACTGCCGCGTGGAGGACACCTGCCTGCCCCCCTGCTGTGTGGTGAGCTGCACGCCCCCAACCTGCTGCCAGCTGCACCACGCCCAGGCCTCCTGCTGCCGCCCATCCTACTGCGGACAGTCCTGCTGCCGCCCAGCCTGCTGCTGCTACTGCTGCCAGCCCAGCTGTTGTGAGCCCATCTGCTGAAAGCCAGGCTGCTGATTTTGAAGTTTCAGCTTCCAAATCAATTCATGAACTAATTAGCTCTTCCATCATCCATGGAGCACTAACAAATTCTTGAACTTTTATTTGGTTTTTGTTGTGGGGGATACCAAATATTTGGGCCTCACCGACCTATCTGATTCCATTCACTTCTGGAAAGACCTCAATCTCCCCAGTGAGGTTGCCAAAATACAAATTTAACTCAAGAAATTGCCTTCAGCACACATTTCAATCTACTCTGTGACTCAGTGCCACCAATGCCGCAGAATCATCTGTCCTTCTCAGATATGTTCACCTCCTACACACCACCATTTTGCAAACTGCACTTTTTATGAAAGGGGAATAATATACCAAGGTCTATTAAATTATATCTATTTGGTGCAGCAAACATATCTCTTTTTCTTCACTGAGTGTGTTCATGATATGTGTTTCATAAAAAGTCACAAAAGATTTTACTCTGTTTTTGTTATCCCACACTGCTTTCTAGGCAATTTGACCACATCTAATGGAGGTTAATCCCCATAAAAAAATAGAGCAAAGGTAGTTACCCAGGGCCTCAGAAGTGGCACAGGCTCTATTTCCATATCCTGACCTCACAAAGTGCTTTCATAACCAGAAAGTTACAGAAGTCAGGAAGCAACTCTGAATCCAGAGCCAGAATATGATGTATTTTTTTCAAGTCTGTTAGAGGAATGCTCTTTCAGGCCATCTTCAAACTGTGGGAACATATGCTAATATTATTATACTCTTCCATTTCTACATAGCCTTACAGAGTAAAGCAAGAGAGCTACAAGTTGGGGAAGCCTCTCTGAGGAAATATGCTTTTGGTTAGATGGAGAATTCTACTTTTTCCCCTGTTTCTAAAATGAAAGTGAAGATAATAACATAACTAATTTGGTTTAAAATTTTCACTTAGAAATACATATACTTATTATACATACACATGCATTTATACATAATACACAATGAAGGAAAAAATAATATACAATGAACTTATACATATCTAAACAGAGCATCAAGAAATGCTTCATAAATCTGGGTAGTTTTTGGAAGGATCAGGATTAATTTGTGGTTTCTTGGACTTAGAACTGGAGGGAGCCAGGGGCTCCTGGGTGGCTCAGTCAGTTGAGTGACCGACTTGGTTTCAGCTCAGGTTGTGATCTTGGAGTCATGGGACTGAGCCCTGCATCAGGCTCTGGGCTCAGCTCAGAGTCTGCTTAGGACTCTTTCTCCTTCTCCTTCTGCCCCTCCCCCTGCTTGGTCGGTCGGTGTCTCTCTCTCCCCCCACCCTCACTTCTCCCTCTAAAATAAATAAATAAATCTTAGAGAGAAAAGACGGCAGAGGAGTAGGGGACCTTATTCCAACTGGTCCCCGGAATTGAGCTGGATATCTACCAGACCACTCTAAACACCCACGAAATCAGCCTGAGATGTAAGAAGACCTGGATCTCTACAAAACAGAATATCACAGGCAGTTGGTTTCGAGGTACGAAGCAGGGAGCGTGATTCCGCAAGCAGATATCGGAGGATAAACGGCAGTAGGAGGGAGTCTGGCTGTGGGGATCTGACACCGCCAGTGAGCGATAGCTTCCCACACTGGGGATGGGGCACAGACTCACAGACCTGTAGCAGCTGGAAAGGACTTTAGATGGAAACTAGAGCGGTGGGGCTGTGCATGGGAACTTGGGGCAGCTGGCGGTTTTAGAAGCACAAAGGACAGAGACAAGCCCAGACCTGGAGGCGAGGACTGGGAGAGCTGTGGAGGGGTGCGCAACCCAGGATGCTGCATGGACAGAAATGGAGATAGTGTGGCCTGGAGAGCTCACTGAAGAACAGATTGCGATGTCTCTGCTCTGAGGCAGAGGGTTGGAAACGGTCTCTTCTGCTCTGACTCTCGGGAAGAGAGGTGGAAAGCCGCCAAGGAAAGCCACCAGAGAACAAAAGCCCCAAAAAACTGGTTCCCACTGAGCCCATCCCCTGCCACAGGGGGCAGGGCAACTCTGCCCAGACAGGGTTGCCTGAGTAACAGCATGGCAGGCCCCTCCCCCAGAAGACAGGCTGGGAAAACAAGAGGCCAGCAACCCTAAGGTCCCTAGAAAACAGGTGCATCTTGCTTGGGTTGTGGTCAATAATTTGGACTCTACATTCCCTCAACCACCCATCAACAGAATGACTAGGAGGAGGAACCCCCAAAATAGGAACTCAGAGATTATGACTTATGCCATAGATTTACAAATGGATTCAGACATAACCAAGATGTCAGAGATGGAATTCAGGCTAGCAATTGTGAAGACAACAGCTAGAATGGAGAAATCAATGGCAACAGAGAGTCTCTAAGGGCAGAAATGAAAGCTGAATTGGCAGAACTTAAAAATGCTATCATTGAGATCCAATCTAATCTAGATAATCTAAGAGCTAGGGTAAGTGAGGCAGAAGAATGAATTAGTGATCTGGAAGACAATTTAATAGATAAAAAGGGAAAAGAGGAGGCCAGGGTAAAACAACTCAGAATCCATGAAAATAGAATCAGAGAAGTAAGTGACACCATGAAGCATTCCAATGTCAGAATTATTGGAATCCCGGAGGGGGTGGAGAGGGAGAGAGGACTAGAAGATATATTTGAGCAAATTGTAGCTGAGAACTTCCCTAATCTGGGGAATGAAACAAACATTCGTGTCCTAGAGGCAGAGAGGACTCCTCCCAAGATCAAGGAAAACAGGCCAACACCCCAGCATGTAATAGTAAAACTCACAAATCTTAGAACCAAGGAAACCATCATAAGGGCAGTTAGGGGGAAGAGATTCCTTATGTACAGAGGGAGGAATATCAGAATAACGTCAGACCTATCCACAGCGACCTGGTAAACCAGAAAGGCCTGGCAAGACATATTCAGAGTACTAAATGAGAAGAACATGCAGCCAAGAATACTTTATCCGGCAAGGCTATCATTTAGAATGGGTGGAGAGATGCAGAGCTTCCAAGAGCAGCAGAAACCGAAAGAATATGTGACCACTAAGCCGGCCCTGCAAGAAATATTAACAGGGGTTCTATAAAAGGAGAAAGACCCCAAGAGTGATATACAACAGAAATTTACAATCTATAAAAACAAGGTCTTCACAGGCAACATGATGACCATAAATTCGTATTTTTCAATAATCACTCTCATATGAATGGCCTAAATGCTCCCATAAAATGGCACAGGGTTGCAGATTGGATAAAAAGACAGGACCCATCCATATGCTGTCTACAAGAGACTCATTTTGAACCTAAAGATACATCCAGACTGAAAGTGAAGGGATGGAGATCCATCTTCCATGCCAGCAGACCTCAAAAGAAAGCTGGGGTAGCAATTCTTATATCAAACAAATTAGATTTTAAACTAAACACTGTAGTTAGAGACCCAGAAGGAGACTATATCATTCTTTTTTTTTTTTTTAAGATTTTATTTATTTATTTGAGAGAGAGAGAATGAGAGACAGAGAGCACGAGAGGGAGGAGGGTCAGAGGGAGAAGCAGACTCCCTGCCGAGCAGGGAGCCCGATGCGGGACTTGATCCCAGGACTCCAGGATCATGACCTGAGCCAAAGGCAGTCGCTTAACCAACTGAGCCACTCAGGCGCCCGAGACTATATCATTCTTAAAGGGTCTATCCAACAAGAAGATCTAACAATTGTAAATATCTATGCCCCCAACATGGGAGCAGCCATCTACATAAGCCAACTGTTAAACAAAATAAAAAATCATATTGATAACAATACGTTAATTGTAGGAGACCTCAATACTCCACTCTCAGCAATAGACAGATCATCTAAGCAGAAAATCAACAAAGAAACAAGAGCTTTGAATGACACACTGGACCAGATGGACCTCAGAGATATATTCAGAACATTCCACCCTAAAACAACAGAATACTCATTCTTCTCGAGCCCACATGGAACTTTCACCAGAATAGACCACATACTGGATCACAAATCAGGTATCAACTGATACCAAAAGATTGAGATTATTCCCTGCATATTCTCAGACCATAATGCTTTAAAACTAGAACTCAATCACAAGAAAAAATTTGGAAGAAATTCAAATACTTGGAAGCTAAAGACCACTCTGCTCAGGAATGTTTGGGTCAACCAGGAAATCAAAGAAGAACTTAAACAATTCATGGAAACCAATGAGAACAAAAACATATCGGTCCAAAACCTATGGGATACTGCAAAGGTGGTCCTAAGGGGGAAATACATAGCCATCAAAGCCTCACTCAAAAAAAAAAAAAAGAAAAGAAAAATCCCGAATTCACCAACTAACTCTACACCTTAAAGAACTAGAGAAAAAGCAACAAATGATGTCTAAGCCATGCATTAGAAGAGAAATAATTAAGATTAGAGCAGAGATCAATGAATTACAAACCAGAAACACAGTAGATCAGATCAACGAAACTAGAAGCTGGTTCTTTGAAAGAATTAATAAGATCAACAAACCATTGGCCAGACTTATCCAAAAGAAAAAAGAAAGGACCCAAATTAATATAATTATGAATGAAAGGGGAGAGATCACGACTAACACCAAGGAAATAGAAACAATTATTAGGAATTACTATCAACAGCTATATGCCTATAAACTGAGCAATCTGGATGAAATGGATGCCTTCCTGGAAACCAATAAGCTGCCAAGACTGAAACAGGAAGAAATTGACAACCTGAATAGGACAATAACCAGTAACGAGATTGAAGCACTGATCAAAAACCTCCCAAAAAACAAGAGTCCAGGACCTGATGGATTCCCGGGGGAATTCTACCAAACATTCAAAGAAGAAATAATACCTATTCTCCTGAAGCTGTTTCAAAAAATAGAAACAGAAGGAAAGTTTCCAGACTCATTCTGTGAGGCCAGCATTACCTTAATCCCCAAACCAGGCAAAGACCCCATCAAAAAGGAGAATTTCAGACTGATATCCCTGGTGAATATGGATTCCAAAATCCTCAACAAAA